GGCGAGTAGATCCGGCGACTTCTGCTTCAGATCCGACGATTCACAGCGTTCGTCTTCCCCTCCACGACGACGCAGCAGAGGAAGTATTAGAGGCACGTGTTCCGGCGATTGCACGAATTTGAGCGACGGCAGTAGTCAGCGTGTGACGGCAGCATCAGTTTGTGGTGAGATTCCGGTAGTCTTGCTTTGTTTTATGGCGGATTCGACATTCGTTGGTGGGCGGCATCCCCGTGTACGACTTCACATGGTGGCAGCAACGTCCCCATCACATAAACCGCGCACAATAGCATCGATAGCGTGTCTCCACTGCTAGATTTCGTGGACAGGTGCATTCTGATGGTTTTTGGTGGTGACCCACACCCAAATGTAGCCCATTCGTGTTACCCACCCTTGTACGGAGTCGTTTTATGATGCCCAACTCCTTCAGCGTTGACCCGCTCTTAACCGAAGTGTGTTCGGTGTGAGTTAGTAAGTAATGACTCGCCTAAACCTGCTTTTGGATTTGATTTGAGTGTTTATGTTCGGATTCTAACCTGAAACGTAAATCTCATTTGTTTTAGGAACCTTTCGGCGAAGCTTAGGAGTGTTAGGTTCTTTGGGTAAGTAGTTTCTTACTGAAGGGATTGTTTGTTGTGTGTTGCTATGAACGAAATGTTTGTTTGTGTGCTTATGAATGTTGTCGCATGATTGCTTGCGGTTGGTACTACTTTATACATGTTGGTTGTGTTCTGATTACTATGAAACTTTTTAGAGTGTTGGATGCGTTTTTGGATATATTTCGGCTAGTCTTTTGTGAATTATACGTTGTGGTGTGTAAATCATGCTGAATGTTGAGAGAAAGGTGTTCTTGTGATGTCGGATGGCCATGTTTGGATAATAGTGGCATAGGTTTCGTGTATAACGCATGTTGCATTGTTGTACGATAAATTCTGCATGGGTCATGACTTAGAAGCATGTAGGAATGTGGTGAGAGTTTCGGGATATAATGAAGTGTGTGGATGAGTAACAGGGTCAGAGGGCTGGCACGTCACTAGTTGGGTTTCGAGACTCTAGGTGCAAAGGTCAGGGATTGATACCCCAACTTGGCAGAGATGAGTGTCGAGGCTCCGGGTACAAAGGTCGGGGGTCGGCACGGTGATTCTAATTGTTGAATTAGTATTGGGTCTTGATGTGGTGGCAGTCAAGGACCAATACGTTGAGTAGTCATCGATACCTTCGGGATAAATGTAAAGGGTCGATGCACAGTTCAAGGCCTTGGGGATAAATGGCAAGGTCGAATGCCAAACTTCTGTAGATGAGTGTCGAGCCTTGGGGATAAATGGCAAGGGCCGATACAATTCGAGGACTTAGACTTGGAGGACTAACATAATAGGATTGACAGTTCGTTATTCTTGAGAACATTAATTTTGTTTAGTTACTTGAACTGTGGTGATGTAATCTATTGAGGACATTTATCAATATAATACATTTGTTTAAGTTGAACTTGAGTTAGCTTTTGTTTCGCTGCTATTTGAGAAACGTGTAGTGGATGGTTTATGATTAGTGAAGATTTCATTGAGAAGTTTTATAATGTTAGATTGTTATTAAATTATTAACTGTGAAGAATTTGAGTTTCGTTAGAACTTTTGTGTTGTCTGGTTTGTTTAGTGCAAGTTTTTTTTTGAAACTGTTATTATTCCAAGTAGCACAGTGGAAGCGTGGTGAGAGTTGTCCTAGTTTATATCTCTAGTGGTTTAATTCTCTAGTACGAACGAGACTTTTTAGGTGGCTTTTAGTAATGGTCCCCATTGGGATGTGGAAAATCCTGGGGCGTTACATTATGATTTGCAATGGTTAACCAATAGAGGTGAGATCAAAATCCAAAGTCAAGTCTTAGTTCCCTTCTCCATAGGAAGGTACAAAGACGAAGTTATTTGCAATGTTGTGTCTATACATGCATGTGATTTATTACTTGGACGACCGTGACAACATATGACAAAAAGGTAAAGTATGATGGTTTTCATAACAAATATTCCTTTAGCAACAATGGCAAGAAAATCAGATAATTACTTCCCTTATCTCCAAATGAACTGAGAATCGACCAAAGAAAATTGGAAGAAAGAAGAAACGAGGTTACCAAGGATCAAGAAGAAAAGGTAAAGCCTCCAACAAAGGTAAGAAGGTCGTGAGTCTCATAGAAAGTTCTAGTGAGATTAAGAAAGCTTTTTGTTTTAATCAAATGCTCTTCATGTTTATGTCTAAAGGTACATGTCTCCTAACCCAAGAACTTCAAGATACATTACCTAGTGTTTTTGTCGAGCTTTTACAAGAATTCAAGGATATTTTTCTTGAGGAGTTGCCCAAGGAGCTACCACCATTGAAAGGGATAAAACACAAAATCAATTTCATCTCTGGATCACAAATTCCTAATCGGTCAGACTACAAACCAATCGCAAGGTGCTCATGGGTATGTAAGAGAATCACTTAGCCCTTGTAGTGTACCCATTTTACATGTGCCTAAAAAGAATGGATCTTGACGCATGTGTGTAGATTGTAGGACTATTAACAAAATCACAAATATAGACATCCAATAGCAAGGTTAGATGACATGCTTGATGATTGCATGGTTGTAAATTGTTCACTAAAATTGATCCAAAATCCGGATATCATCAAATTAGGATGCCAGTAGGTGATAAATGGAAGACCGCATTCAAGACTAAGTTTGGATTGTATGAAATGGTTAGTAATGTCTTTTTGGTTAACTAATGCACCTAGCACGTTTATGAGGCTTATGAACCATGTTTTGAGAGAGTATCTAGGAAAATTTGTTATGGTATATTTTGATGACATCTTAGTATATTCTAAGTCTATGAATGAGCATGTGGAACATGTGAAGTGTGTCCAAACCACTCTTAGGGCCGAGAGGCTCTATGCTAACCTCAAGAAATGTAGCTTTTGTATGGAAAGAGTCAACTTCCTACGTTTCATCATGACAACCCAAGTAGTAGAAGTTGATCAAGAGAAGATCAAAGTCATCCAATAATGGCCAACACCCTAAAGTGTAAGTAAGATTAGGAGCTTCCATGGCCTTATCAGATTCTATAAGAGGTTTATCAAGGACTTGGCTTAATTGCTTCACCACTCAATGAGCTAGTCAAGAAGAATGTGAAGTTCCAATGGGGTCCCGAACAAGATAAGTCTTTCAACACTATCAAATCTCGATTATGTACTAAATTTTGAGATTGAATGTGATGCTAACTTTTGAACTAACTTAATTGTTTTGCCAAAATTTGAACTAACTTTTGAGATTGAATGTGATGCTAGTGGCATTGGAATCGGAGGCGTGTTGATGCAAAATCAAAGACCGATCATGTACTTTAGTGAGAAGCTTAGCTGAGCAATGTTGAACTACCCAACATATGACAAGGACCTATATGCATTGATAAGAGCTTTGCAAACTTGGCAACATTACCTTGGCCGAAGGAGTTCGTCATCCAACATATCATAAAAACTTGAGCATTTGAAGAGCCAAGACAAACTCAACCGGAGACACACCACATGGTTGGAGTTTATAGAGACATTTCCATAAGCGATGAAGTATAAGAAAGGTAAAGAGAACAAAGTTGTTGATGCACTATCTGCACTATCTACGGTTTGAACATCTTAAGTCTTTATATGCCCTTGGCCTCTATTTTGCTAATCTTTTTGAAATTTGTACTAATGGAGGAACTTGTGAGCCTTTGTTTGAAGGATTTTTGTTCGAGAAAGGAAAATTGTGCATTCCCCAAGGCCTCCAATATATCAACTATTTCGTTGAAGGTCTTTTTTCGTGAAAGCTCCATTTGTAGCGTTGTTGAGCATCATCTTCGTTGAATGGTCCAAACCTCTAAAGAAATGCTCTATCTCGATACATGTTGGTAACCCATGCTTCAGCCACTTTCGCAGCAACTCCTTGAATCTCTCCCATGCCTCGTGCACTGATTCTCGGTCATATTGTCTAAAAGTGTCAATCTCCTCTTATGTCGTATGGTGAGTGGGAGGGAAGTACTTTGTAAAAAACTTCTACTAATGAAGTGGTGATTGAACCTGGTGGGAAAGAATTAAGCCACATTCTCGCCTGGTCCCTAACAGAAAATGGGAAAAGAGTTAATCTCAAAGCATCATCTGTGATACCAGACAATCTAAATGCATTTGCAATTTGAAGAAAAGTTTTGAGATTGTCATGAGGATCTTCGTGTTCGTGCCCTTCGAACTGTCCTAATGTCTGAAGCATTTGAAACATGAGTGGCTTTAGCTCGAAGTTGGCAGCTTCTGGAATGAGATTCAGAATGACCGAATCCAAATTCTGGAATGTTGTAGCAGTATACTCTCGCATGGCCACTTCTCTATTATTCGCCATTTAAATATCGCTAAACTCCTTGTTTTGTTGGCATTGTGCTAGCCCTGCCATATCACCGTTTACATTATAGATTGGTGGATCTACAGGATTTCAAGGTGGAGTTCCGTCCATAACTGTGATGGTATTCTCTATCTCATTTTCAGAATCTTTCTCTTTCTCTTTCTCTTTTTCTTTTCCTAATAGTTTTCTAAGTCTCCGTACCTTTTTCAACCTACAACAGGTTTTTTCAATTTCAGGATTGAAAGGCAACATAAATGCATCTGTGCTCATGCACTGAACAACCTTGGTGGTTAGATAAGATTTCAATGACGTTTAAGAACAGAACAATAATTACAAAAATTGATCACAAAAATTTAGAAAAGACTAACACAAATTGGTCCTCGGCAACGATGCAAAAAAAATATTTAGGATTTCGAGTTTAAAATAAATGGGAAGAGCGTGAATATACACCTGTCACAAGTAATAATGAAATGAGTATTCTGAGTATCGATCCTTAGGAACAACGTAGTCTTTTTGAGAGAAATAATAATGATAAGAAAAGTTGTAATTGATTTTAGGTAACAAATAATTCAAGGGAATGATTGTTGGTTTCGTTTTTAAATCTCAATGCAATAAAACCTGAGCTTAAGTTACTTCAAATTAGCTAGAAAATATTGGGACGAGCTCGGGATGTTTGGCAACTCTCTTGTTATTTAACAACAACGTTTCTTAAGCCGCTTATATCTAAGTGATCTCAAAGTTTCTAAGTTCTTCCTAATATATCTATTAAAAAATCCCTTAGTTTTGGCTTAAAAATAATTGCAACCTTGGGTCAAGGTCCTATATCTAGGCTACTTGAACGAAACCTTTATATCTAAAGTCTTCCTCTTTTAAACCCTTAAGTTGTAAAAACGAGTCAACCTTCTTAGTATTGACTATGTTCAGATTTTAATTAATCAAATTAAAACTTAAACTTTATAAAAACAACCTTAAGTGATGAATAAGTGAGCAATTACCAATTTGCCCTTGCTATCCCATTTTAAAGTAAAAACATAATGTAAAGATTTTGCAAAAGGGAGATATGATTTAAGAAATAAGACATTAAAGAATAAGATGTAAATGAGAAATTGTAATCCGAATGAACTTTACCCTTTCTCTCTCAAGCTTAGGGCAGCAAAAACTCGTTCTATTCCACAATGATACGTGATCACAAGTTTCTCTCGACAACTGAATGAAAATATAGAGGGGAACAAAGTGGGAAAAACAAAGCTGGAAATTTGCTTACAAACAAGAACAACGGTTGAAAATTAAAGCTAAAGCAAAAAGCAACTTAAAGAACTTTACCCTTTCTCTCTCAACCGTTGTTCTTGTTTGTAAGCAAATTTCCAGCTTTGTTTTTCCCACTTTGCATTGGCAAAGAACTCTAAGAAAGCTTGCAATTGATCAAGGAAAAGAGTGAAGCTTGTTTCAAATGAAGAAGTGAAAGCTTGTTTTTATAGGAGCTCATGGTTGGTTAGACGGTTGAGAAATTGATGCTTCACCATTGGCTTTTAACTTGTTTGACTACAATTTTTGCAACCAAATCTTCAACCTTCTTTTCATGCATGACAAGTGGCGCTTAGGTGTAGCTTTCTGCACAAAAAAATTCAGTTTTTGTTACTTTTCCACTATAAATTATGTTAAACTTTAGTTTATGCATAAATAGATCATGGTTTAAATATAATGCATGTATAAATCCTCAATTGGGTACTTAAGCAAGCTAAAACATACTAGTTTTAAACAAAATAAAGTAAAACATTCTAATTTCAAACTATTTTTTATCATTGTAAACAAGTGTAATCAATAAGGTAAGTGAAAGTTGCATAACATGTAAGCAAGCAAAGTCCAAGATGATGTCACACGGTTTGTATATTCCTTTACCCAATCCCATTGCACCATGGCTAGATACATCTATGAATTTTGTATTACGATTACCTAGGTTAAAAAGAGGAAAGGATAGCATCTTCGTAGTAGAGGATAGATTTAGCAAAATGACATACTTTATTCCTTGCCCAAAATCTAGTGATGCCAAGCAAATTGTGGATCTATTCTTTAAAGAAGTGATAAAATTACATAGTATGCCTCAAACTATTGTTAGTGATAGGGATGTTAAGTTCTTGAGTCAGTTTTGGAAATCCTTGTGGGGCAAGTTAGGTAGCAAGCTACCATTCTCCACAACTTGCCACCCACAAATGAATGGATAAACCGAAGTCATTAATAGAATCATGGAACTTTACTTCGGTCCGTGATAGATAATAATTTGAAGAATTGGGAGGAGTACTTACCTTTTGTAGAGTTTGCATACAATAGAGCAATACATAGCATCATTCATTGTTCCCCATTTGAGGTAGTATATGGTTTCAATCCTTCAATTCCACTTAATTTATTACCTATGCCCTCTAACAAGTTTGCTAGTCTTGAAGCTGAAAGCAAGGTAGATCTCATGCACTCATTGCACAAGGAATTGAAGTAGAGAATCAAGAAGAACAATTACAAGGTTGCTTCAAGGGTCAACCAACACCGCAAGCATATAGTGTTTCAAAAAGGAGATTGGGTTTAGAATCACATTGTAATTCCAACTGAATCACATTGCCTTCGAATATTTTTTGTTTTTCCTTCGTTGCTTTCAACACTGAAGACCACAATTTTTTTTTCCCACTAACAACAACAACAAATAATAAAATTATTGGATCAAAATTCACCAAATCAAACAATAAATTCAAATAAGTTCCAAAAAAATCAAACCCTAATATGGTGTTATATTTAAGAGAAACAAGAAAAGAAAATCAAACTCATGAGATATATCCAATCTAGAGCATAAGATGAGATACCAAATTAAATGATATAGAATCCTAGAAAACTGCGGATAAAAACCTCCCACCAAATGAGGGCCCCTAGCTATCAATACCTAAAACCCCAAATTCAATTTAACCAATCCAAAGGGAAGGATTAGATGAAGGATTACTTTGTTGATCGAAGACCAAGAGGTAAAGAGAATTGGTTTCCTACTCAAGGTTGAAAACTCCACAAGAAGGTTGATCAAACCTAATTTGAATATTTTTGGTTGAACCATAGATCAAAAATTGAAGAAACGAGTAACTCTTACTCGTCACGCTAAACACAATCAAAATTAATTATGTGCCAAAAATCGTTATGATCACATGATCAAAAGCCCTAATCTCTAAAAGAAGCTAAAATACTATACTACCCTCAAATGTGGTGACATAATAATTTTAAAATAAATAGCTAAAATTAAGAATCCAATGCCACATTATTAAATATAGAGGCTTAAATAAGAAAAAAAATATTAAAATGATACAATTTACTAATACAAAGTTTCTTCATCTTTTCTGGTGTCTTCATTCGTCACCATGAATAAAGTTTCTTTTCGTCTTTATCCTCTTGATGTTCATTAGTGGAGCTCACTACTGATGTGAGAGTCGAAGGCTAGTTGTAACTGTTTGGCCTTTAAACGAGTGATTGGTCCTAGAGGCAAGGCTAAAACATCTTGGTTCATATCACAGTCTCATCTTCATGGTGACGTGTACATGTGAATCGCGTTGCAAAAAATTCATTTTTTATTCTTGTTTTGATTCGTCATTGACCCCCATTTCGTCTTTGATGTTTGTCTTCTTATTTCTTTTTTTAATTTCATCATTTTTGTAGGACCATGGTATATTTTATGGGGAACTTTTTCTCATGTAACAAGCACCTCATTATCTTAGCAGATAGATGTTGGGTTTTGTGCCCTTAGCTCGTTTGTTTGTAATTAATAAACATATTATTTATTCAATAAAGAGTTATTTTATTATTTCTGTGTACTACTCGTATTTCAATAAACTAAGATCAAAGGTTATTAATGTAACTGGAACTGTATATATTTCATGTACAGTATATATTTAATATTCAATGTATATATTTGATATACAATGTATATAAAATATATACAGTATATGTTTGATGTACAAGTGGATAATGTTCCARTAATAACCTAAATAGTCTATTGTACATGGATAAGTTTTGGTACCTTATTCTGGTAACACTATGGATATGACCTGCTTTGTAGTAGTTATGAACAGCACTATCCAAGTCGTTCATGTGGAGACATGCGAGTGGGGGTATCTTATACAATAAGTTTGTATAAGACCAGACCACGAAATAATTAATCTTTAGTTATAACACTGTGAACTAACTTTATTAATGTTTCATAAGATGACCAGGTAACTCAATCTTAATCTTGAACGAGTTATGGACTCCTGCCTATAAGGGATCATCTTTTGATTTGTATGGGTGAGAGTGGCTTGGGTTGCCGACTAAATAATCCTACCATTTTGGGGACGAGACCGAGTGGGGAGCTGGAAACATAACTATGGAAGATGAAATTCACTCATTCTCGACTTTAGGGTACATAGATGAGTGTTCCCTTAAATGCTGACTCCGGAACTTGAACAAGGGGCTTCAACCTCTCATTGGTCCCAGGGGGACTTCTGTTCAATGGTCGGACCATAAATAAGTTGTTCATTAGAGGATCAGTGGTATTTAAGGTGAAAGAGGTAACTTAGGGGTAAAATTGTAATTTGATCCAACTGTAGTTACGAACGCTCGTGAAGGATTGACTTACTGTTAATGATCAAAATTCGTTGACACAAAATAGTCTGTAGTGAGAAGAGTACAGTTGCGGGTCTTTAGTGGAATGGTCCGCAGTTAACGAATATTGGTTAATTTGGTTAATGTGTTTAATCAATTAACCTCGTATTGTTAGAGCTTCTGATCTGTAGGTCCATTAGGCTCCCCTACTAGCTCGTAAAGGATAGTTAAGAACATTTAGTTTTGAAAAAGAGTTTGAATTGTTAAAATCTTTTAATGTAACGCCCCCCAATTTCACTACAAGGAATGGGGTACCGTTGCCATAACTATTCACCATTTTTCCCATTAATGAAACATAAAGCAGAAAACCCGTAGGGTTTCTGTCGCAACCGAAAACCTGGAAACACATATTGCCTCAGTGGCTAATAATCCAAATAAAGAAAAGACCGAATCCTAGAAAATCCATAATTGCCTCAGTGGCTAATAATCCAAATGAGGAGAGTCACAATTATTTGTTTCCATAATTAAAAAATTTGCCCT